AAGTTGGTTTTTAACATTAATCATCATGCGGCAACATTTAATAATAAGTCAGTACCTGCGGATGCTGGCTTTCGAAAGAACAATTTTCCGGCCGCATGCAAGAACCACACTCTATAAAAGATGACTATCTAAGTATCATTGAGTTTTTCTAATTGATGTTCGATGCCCTTGAAAATCCAATTATGTTCCATGGAAAGCTGCATAAAATATTCATTCTTCTACTCAGTCGGTAGAAAACAACGCCTTCTGTCAAAATTATACTTGTACGAAGGGTACAAGTCGAGTTTAAAGAAGGTTTCTAATCATAAGATTTTTTAATTCCGCGAAATGCCCGACAATAAAACATGTCTCTGCAGTTAGTATTGCTGCTTGTAAAGCTTCCGATATGACTCAAGCCCACTGCTAAATTTAATTAACCTCTTATGGTTTCCTGTTAATATCGTAGATAAATGTATGATTTTCCTTGAGTAGATAATGTATGATTTGTATGCTATAAACCTTGAATGCGAGCCTAGCCGCAGGTCGGGTTCAAAATTATTCGGAAATTGAAGAAGATTTAGAAAATCAAATTATACCCTTCCTCCGAGCATTAAACTGAAAGAAGATGTAATTTTCTACTGAATGAGTAAAGGAATGAATAAGTTCGTGCGTGCTTCCCATGAGATAAACTTGAATTGGCAAGGTCATCGAAAGTCAACGAGAAAAATATCATGCTACCTAAGTGTTCATTTTTTGAGAATTGTCGGTTTTGCATGCGGCTGGAAAGATTTTCTTTCGAAAGCCAACATCCCGCGGTAAATGGATTGTTATAAGATTGTACTACGTGATTATTAGGTTAAAAACCCTACTTAAGTAATCTTTTCGAAACAAAAACACGTTTTAGAAACCCAGTAAGTATTTCATGAGTTAGCATACTTAATGTATGTTTGACTGATATTACTCAAAATGTCACTGTTACCTTTATCTGCCGAAAAGCAAATAGCAAAAGCAATTTTTAAGACTAATACTGTTGGTAGTAGCAGAATAAATAAGAAAGTAATACGTCTACATGAATGACTTGTCGAAGCGCTAGGTTTGATCAGGGCTACTTCCACTACTGAAAACGCAGGTTTTGGTTACACTATTGAAATGCCTGCGTCGAACAAGCCAATTGCAAGTCCTATCGGGTGAAAGGCAATGCCCATACTGCCACTTATGTAAAACGTACTGTGCTAGTTCCCACGCGAAAACGTATGTCGTTTGCGTAAACCACGGGAAAAGTAAGGTTTGTGTATCTGGCTAACAATCGAAGTAATACGACGGGACAGTACTCTGCGTATGGAGAGGCAGTCCCTCCATCAGCAATTTTCGTAAACGCAGGCAGTACTGATAACAGTAGCAGAAGACGTTACGAGGACAATCAGTTTAAGATATGACATTGCAGATCCTGTTAGCGTTTGTGCTGTCCCAGCGCAAGTACGACATAGGCTATGTGGACTGCTAAGTCTACTACCACCAATAATGCTACCGTGGGTACGCATAAGATAACTTGTGTATCGAAGTTTACGTCGACTCATCATTCTGCAGAAGGCCTGATGGCGTTATGCAATCCCCTACACTCCTACGACAACTGTTACCGTCGTCAATTCTCATATCACTTAAAGTTCAACTGTAAGCATTATGAATAGTAAACCAACAAGTGGAAAAATAACGGATACTGCTGTCACAAGAGATAATAATTTATGAAATTAACATTGAAATAACTAGTCATTTTGTTCCTGTGAGTACCTCTGCCGATCGCAGTCAAACAGCCTATCCATTGGCAAGAGAATTATGTGACAACTGAAATCGAAATATTAAACCCAGAACTAAATTTCAAGTCACAAGTCTGTCCAAACTAAGTATGTCTAGCGCAACCTGACTAATTTACGTCAGCGACATTTCCGCCTAGATAGGGAGGTTGCGTCGAGAGATGGCATGTCCCTGTGAATGCCTGCAGTGAACAGTGTACAGTACCCACAATCCACTATGTGCCCGTAGACATGCGGCAGCCACACCAACAGCCCGTTATCTTTGTTCTCGCGGTCGCAAAGCTCCCAAAATAACGTTTGCGGTGGCACCAAAAGGCTGCGCCGCGAATTGGAGTGTTGCAACACTGGTATCATACAAAAATGCCTTCTGGGCGTTTAAGGATAGAGATATAATTATCATTATTATTGTTGCTGTTATCATTATTATTGCCTCGTTTCGTCTGTAAAAACAGCATCTTCAACGTTATTCAGCCTTTCTTGAATGGAGAATTTTCGAACTCTCATAGACTCTCATCGGCTGAGCAGTCCTATCTCACGTGCATACCCCTCTTATATGTGCGACAGTTTTTTCTGTTATAAATTCTGAAACGACATCCACTTTATATTTATTTCAACTGATAATTTCGAGTTACTTTCTCTGTCGCTTGGCTTCATTTATCACTGCCTCCTTGCAACTTTGATGACCTCAAAAAGCGGGCGTCAAGTCCACCAGTCATCATCATCTAAAGACAGACTGGATACTACATGTTTACTTATTCGTTCCACGATTTATTCGCGAGTGTTTTTTAACTTTTTCTTACAGTATACAGACGGGTGCTTAGTATAGCTATTATTATTAGTGACCAGCCGAAGAATATTTGGGCTAGGAACTTGCCCTCGGAGGAACATGCCAGCGCATATGTTCACACAGAATCGTTTATGTGTTAGTTTATGCTGTTAGTCAGAAATGGTCAAAGACATCTGATAACCCCTTACTGCCGACTCCCTCCCCTGAACCCAGCTCACGTCCAGTCCCCGCCGATCGTCAGTGCCGACCAGTCAAATCTCTCGTGACGAATATAAGCAGCCTAGACGGCATTTACTGGGACTTACATAGTTACGAATAGGCATTTCCGAACTAAAGCTGTATTTACATATGTGTCATTTTATTGCAGGTTATATCGATGTATTGCTCCTCAGTATTTAGAACAGATGGATGAAAATGCATTCGAATTTCCATGGCGGCTTTACTGTTACATCCCACCCATTCTCTGTCCCCTAACCCTGCCTGACTTGTGAAGGAAATTGAGGTTGACGTACTCGTGTTTTCGTTACCGCTGGTCAGGTGTATTTTAGCCCTTTTACTGGAGGGTGGACGCGTAGGTCGACATAGCAGCACCGAGAAAACGATAGGTTAGAATTTTTGGAACTTCCAGTGCCACACGGGTTAGTATAAATACCTCACGTCTGAATCGTCGTTATAAGTCCTTTGATAACGGACTATTCGTATTTCCTAAAGGAACTTACGAAGTAGTTTGCCCCCTAACCCCCACGCTTCCGAACGAAATACGCGCTTCCTGTATTTACTTGAGGTGATCTTTGACTATTTATACATGTGGCACGCCCTAAACGTAAGTCATCACGACACGTTAACCACCTCACCAAATTTCATCAGCAGAATGCTCACAGGCCCGGGAAGCCGAATGGTCAATGGGATACAGTAGATAAAGAGTGGGGTCAACACCGGTGAATCTCCTCCCATGACAATTTGGCGCTCCCCTCACCACAATAAATCGGACGCGCTCGAGTCTGTTACGACGCGCTAAAAATCGTGGTCTGAAAGTTTGCCAACTGACACGAGAATTTGGCCCATCAGGCTGCAATAGTCCTTAAACATAATGATCACGTCGTGTATGAAACGCATGGATCGGCTGCTTGACTCTGTTCGCCAACGCGACCAAGCCAACCCCCGATTGCCCTGACACTGCCCTGTCACCAGAGGTAGGCAGGCGAGGGGAAGGAGCGTGAAGTAGATTATGTGCACGTCTGCCTCATGATAAAGTAATTCCTGCACGCGTCAACCGCGTTTTGCTCACCCCGTGGGGCAAAAGGTGCCTTCGATCGCTTGCGACACTCGAACCGTCCCGTCAGACGGCGAATTCCTGACAGTCATTACGCTTACTCTCATTGCCGTTAGGTTTGATCTGGACGAGAGATTTGCGCAGGAGAGAGGAAATGTAGGGTGGTGCTCACAGTTTTGCCTCGAGCTTTAAAGGTGATTAACTGGTAGGATAACTTATTAATGTTTAAGACGGAGAACCAGTCTGGAATAAAATTTCGTTAAAGGGGGTTTTATGGTGATTTTACATGCATGAGAGCCTAGACAACACAAAATAAGTCTTGGGGACGCTTAGAATTGGGAACCAGATGTTACTAGATATGCGGATGAGATGTGTAGCTTAACCGGCATTTACTTCCACACACATCTGTTATTGTCTTGCCGACAGAAGATGGTGGATAGGAAAAAAGTGCATGCTGAAGTTAGCATCCTGGTTTCATACCCCGTATTCAAGAAAAACGCGTTAGCCACATTTGCGTTCATTCCGTGGAACATGACCAGATCACGATAAGCAAAAAGATTACAATTATATATTCTCAATTTTCTATCTCTAAAGTTCGCACCTATCTTGCTTAGCATTGTTCTGACTTTGCTTGGTATTTAGCATATCATTTTTCGCCTTGTTTGGCTTTTTTGAAATCTTTCTCTGTTTGGTAGCATTAAGGGACACGCTGCTGAGTCCCACTTTGTATCCGCCTGATCTCGTAAATATTAAGAATGCCGAAATATGGCGTGATTTTCCGAGTTCCGGACAATTCCTAATTTTCCTCAGAGCTCACGGAGTATTCTGCTTTACCCCACTACGGTATTCGCAAGTGTGTCATTATAATGTTTTAAAATCTTGAATTCCAGAGTCAAATCGATGTTCTTAACAAATTTAAAAACTACTAATAGGCAACTGCCTTAATTCGAAGTTCTTCCGCACATGAACTTCACTCCGACTTGACATCACTGCTTTTGTTTTAACTATTGACTTCACTTGGAGCCGGGCGTTGTGGATTTCGTGGGCTTTCGTCCGTTGTCATTTTGCCACAAGAATGTCCGGCAGGGGAAAAGCGAGGAAGCCCGCGGGAGGGAAGAAACACACAAAGTCGTCCAGAGCTGGATTAGTTATGCCAGTTGGGCGTGTGCATCGTTATCTGAAGCTTGGTCGCTACGCCCGGAGAACGTCGACAGCTGCTTCGGTCTACCTCTCAGCTGTCATCGAGTATCTGGTTGCCGAAGTTAACGAACTTTCTGGAAATGCAGCTAAAGCAAACAAACGGTTCGTCTTATTCTAAAGTTAGACAAACTTTACCTATTTATACGAGATTTTCGTTCACACTGCATATTTTACTACTTGAAGTTCCGTGCTAGCGGATTCGTTCGTCCCAGTTGCGGGGCCAACAGCTGGGATTTTAGCAGATGACCCAGTCACTCCCGTCTTCCAAAATTTAATGACCAGAAGTAGTTAACTTGCACGACTTTTTCCGCGTGGCAATCGGCCCGCGGAACGCGCCCACGTTATCTGTTCCGGAAAGAATTAGCGCATTACTAATAGATCGTCTGAGACGGGATCGTCTCCCTCCCTAGGATGTGGCCATTTGTTGACAGGGTTGCTGGAAAGTCATACCTAATTTTGAAATGTGGCCTCAGCAAGGCTCCCAGCATACATTGTGCGAGTTTTTGGTGACTGATTTGAGCGGAGGCTCCCGTTTTATGGCCATATTTGTGAAGGTTTGCTCGTTTGGCAGACGTATCGGCCTTGGTCTTAGTATTACCAGACGATCGCGTTTATAACCCAGCGAGGTGCCTCTCTTCTCCTGGGACTAGTTACATAGAAAAGGCCTAACGTTCAGTCAAAGGTAGGAGTGAGGCTGTGTAGTCGGGAAGTAATTTTAAAGTCGCTGTACCTGCGTTTCGCTCCCATCCCGCGTCATATTCAGTGTTTCTCCTCGCAGAGGCTGCCCTACGCGTAATTAAACACCCGCTCAACTTTAGGTTCATCTCTGTCGCACTAAGTCTAAAAGCCGTTCAGGGATGTCTTGATTAATTTTTAACGTAATACAGGTGCGCTTAACAGTTTTGCCCAGCGAACGATTCATTTTAGTGGAATAGATTGACAGCTCAGCCCTGTTCTAAGTTCAGTATTAAGCTCTCGTGTTACCTTCTTGAAAGTCCAACGATGGTATCGTCTCTCCTTGAGTTTATTTATTCACGGTCCCCTAACCCTGTTTAAGTAGAGAGAAGCAAATTAAAATGTTCAAACTAAGGCGGAGAACCTTACTTCGCGAGATTTACACAATGTGGTATTGCGCCTTATCGTATTTCCGACTTGAATGTGCACACTAGCCGGTGTGGAACTTCTTCCTAGCGTTCAGACTGTACCCTTTAGAGGTGCGGAATAGCCTAAGCACGCTTATTTTTCCAATAGTTTGCTTTCCAAAAATTGTAAAGTAATCGCACTTTCCTCCACCTTTTATTCTCGTGCACGGTTTCCCGGTTAAATATTGTGGTCGCTCCGTGTTAATAGCTTGTCGGCGATACCTCATAGATATTCTTAATTTAATTTGGTACAAAGAATTATTTTTGGGCAACATTCGTACTGTGCTGGGTGCTAGCTATTACCGTAAGTCGTTTAGATACATGTGCACTCTGCATGCGAGTGCCTATCCTAGATTCATCGCGTTTTACGGTCTGGTACTTCTACCTTAAGGGGGTCGGAAGATTTAGACGGTGCGCACGTCGTGTTATTCGCAACTTAAATGAAAACGACCAGCCTGTGGCAAAGTTCTTCATCTCGTGTCCCTTATACCATTGCCCACCGAGAACAGAGCCATGTCAAATCCTCTTAACTTTTCATGCCCATTAAGATTGACACAAGAGAAGCTTTGCACACGCAAGTCCTTGTGGGCATCAACAAGTGCAAGTAGCTTAACACAACTAAAGTTTACCACCTCTCCCCCAAACAGAAAATGTTAGTTTAGGATTATGATTTCGCATTCTGATTCTAATAACTCACCCGTTTTGCCCACACATGAATTTTTTCGGTACCGTGCCCGTTTCGGTTTTTGAGGCGGCGATAGTCAGCACTGATGCTCGAAACGGGCTCCTCGCAACCCTTTTTGCGTCAGAACTAAACAGTGCCCTTTCTAGTAGTTGCCAATCCTGGGGCCTCCTACTAAATACCACGTTTGGCCACAATGGTCTTCTGTCTCGTTCTCGCTTGCGGGTGGTTTACGGTATGACTTATTTTACCCTCTTTAGAAAGACCATTACACCTCGTCATATCATGCTGGGTGTACGGAACGACGCCGAGCTGAACGAACTCCTAAAACATGTGCACATAAGCCACGGAGGAGTATTGCCTTGCATTCACCCCTCTCTGCTCAAGAGGAAGTCGGTGTCAGGTCAGATGCAAAACAGCACGGGGGTGGTCGTCGCATCGTCCAGTGGCCGACAAGGCCTCTCTGGTGGATCTGGAGCGGGTGGCGTCTCGAGTTCCTAGGTCAATTGTTCAATTTATATAGCTTTCCTTCTGACCATAGTACCACTCTGTCCACTTATCCTTTTACTAAAATTCCGTATTTTACCCCCTCTGTGTATTTGTTGCAACGTTCCTTCCGTCGCATCCTTAATCATTGTAAACTTAACATTTTCAGCATTCGATATATTACTATTGCTATTCTTCCTGTTTGTGTTATAATTTTCAGTCAGCGCTGTAAAGGCCTTCGCCCATTGAGCCTATTAAGCTTTAACTGTTTGAGAAGTTTTCTTGCATTTAAGTTACAAGTACTATCAAAACGTCTGTAATTGAATTTGGTTGTGGGTCATGGTTTTCTCCCATTTTGGAGTAATACTGCAACTTGAGCACTACGTTTTCAGCAGCTTCGGACCGGGTGCACGGCTGCTTAGACGGTGATTCCAGCCTCCGCCAAAAATGCTGGAGATCTAAGCGTGAGGAATATGAGATAAATGAGGCTTAACGACTTTTCAGTGACGTATAGCATGCCCATCCTCTATAAATTGACGTCAGTTGAGGCTCTGTTGCACTAGAGATCACATTATGTTCCCCCTGACATGTCATTTGCTTTTCGGGGACGCATTTGTATGGTCCATTGGGGGTACTGTCACAGGCAGTCCTTTGGTCCCTTTAGCCCCGAACACGGAACCTAGGAACTTCCAGCTACCCCGACCAGGTAGTTGTGTCTGCACACTAGACAGTATTTGTCAACGCACCTCCGTCTTCGTAACTCGGGCTCCTCGCGCGTTTACACTGAAGGAACCGGTCGCGGCAACAATCAGTACGTTTGGTTGGAAACAGTACAGCCTACCGAGCTTATAGCGTGTTCCATACTTTATCGAGTCGACCATATTAGCCTACGTTTCCGGATTCATATAGAAACCGGTCAAGAACGGTAGAGGCATGCGACCTGCAGATCTATCACAGCATGTCGGTCCTGTGCGATCTCACTCCCTGGTGCTCCACACCTAGGTTATTCAAGATGGGGTAGACGGACGTACCAGAGGGCTGAGCTGCTACCTGTGATCCAGGTCTTCGTATCGCCTTTTAGTCAACTGGCAGCCTGATCAGTGTGCTTGCGTCGATGGATTCGGTTTGCGAGAGGCCCGCAGGCCTCATTTGGCCTCCAGTCTGTTGGATGACGGCCTGTGCACCCAACTTTGACGACAAATCCCAATTATAACGGGAGCGTAGGCAGCCGTCAGAGCTGGTTGCCCATCCTTTGCGCCCCGGTGTCATGTTTTCTGGGCTACCAATTTTACTATTATAACTGCCGGAGCGATTAACACGTTGAGCGACCCCAGATATTGTGCTGACTCCTCCCGCTTTCGGGTCTGGGATGTTGAGCCTGATAGACTGGTGGGAGTATACTGCAACAGGTAGCTAAGTTCACGTCTGAAAACGACAGCGTCCCGACCCATCGTAGGTTGCTTTTCCAGGTCAGCTGACATTAAACCATGTGACGGCAAGATTGAAGGTGCCATTTGTGTTCATCTAGTAGGCGAATTGCAAGGATTGCGGCCCTTTCATTCGCGCTGTTTTTTGACTTTGAACAGAGAGACGAATGCGATTCGTAGTTAAGCCACCACTCGACTTTAAAAGCGATGCCAATGAGGTGGTCTAGGTCAGCGCGTCGTGCGGCGGGAGATTCCAGTCAGGCCGCGAAACAACATAATAGTTGATTGCCGCTGGGATTCCCCGCATGTGCAACCGCTTGGGGTGGTCATTGTCGGAGTCGGGTTGTGGGAATGTATTTTTGAAAAGTGAACTACCAGCCAACAAAGCAACTTTCCTTCAGAAATTCGACCGCTACGACTCCATGGGGTCCTTCCATGCTTTTCGTGCCCTCATTTTGTTCGTTCATGGGAAACGAGGAAGGCCACAGCTGCCTTTAATAGAAACCAGTAGTGAATGGATGTAGCTTGGATTACATTGAAGTGGGCTTTTGCTGCGTCTACCACATTACCACCGCACACACTTACCACCCGTGTCGGCCATAGGTGGACGCAATAACGGAGAAGTCCAAGTAGCCAATTCACGCGTGACATCCACAGCCTGGTCTCTACGCGATGGGTCAGGTCCTCGCAGAGTAGGAGGGGCGGCACGCATCACATCTGCGTAGGAATGACGCGGGCCACGTCCAGAGGAGCCATTGAGCGTGACCCTCAGTCGAGAGGCGAGGCCGATTTGCTCATTCAGCAGCCTTCCAAGTCTTGATTTAGCGCATCGTGACAGATTCATAGCGCACTAAATTTATTGTGGTGAGGAATGCGTCGAAGTGCTGGCAATGGTTTTACATTGGGCACCACAAAAATGAGATAATGCTCCGTCAGCAGGAGAAGCGAGAGGACGTCAGGGTGAGAGGTTCTTTTGTGTGCGAGATCCAGAGATCGCCCCTTCATGCGTCAATGGCCCCTTGCGAATCGAAGGTCTGTGCCAAAGGTGTTAAGTTACGCTTGGGATAGTGAGACTGGTGGCAGTTGCTTTAACAGGTTTGTGGAGCAGGTCAAAGTGTAGTCTGGTTGGTATGTGTTGCGTTATCAGAGGCGTAGTGTCTAGTGGTTTGTGGTGCATCTGCTGAACTGTGCCGTATAAGCGACCGCGACTGTCTGGACTCGCGTGTATCGGAGTTAAAGTCGGTCAAGTGGCTGCAGTTCAAGGCGTCGGGCATTTGGTAAAATCTTTTCCACACCGGGAATCTTTGTTATGAGATTAGGGTCCCGGAGAAGTGGTAGTGCCGTCTTTGGCGGCAGTGTCCCCTTGCTGTGCCAGGGCCTGTACCGGTGTTAAGTAGTAGTTAAGAGATACTGTGGAGTCCGCTTGTTTCACGTACCAGAGCGCGGTTGAGATTGCCCGTGCCTGGTGGCGTTTTACCCTATTGTCCACTACAACGAACTAAGCTGATGTACTAAACCAAAATGTGGGTCGGCTCGATTCGCAGCGCGCGTTGATCAGCCCGAGCAGAATTCGTATGGGCCCATAACTACCGCCGTGCGGGCAGGGATTTGGTAGCACGCCATAGGCGTGCTCAGTCACGCCGCGTAAGCCACTGCGCCCAATCCATCACCAGTTCAGCTATTGGTACGTGCCAGAGGAGAGGGCGAGGTTGACGATAGCTCTGCCTTGAAGCTGTGGTCGGCCACTATCATGCCGTGAATGCCGAGGATTCCGGTTCATTCCTGGATTTGCGTGTCGTGGACTCATCTTGGCTCCTCTAACTCACCGGAGGCAGCTGAGATTGAAGTGACTGAGTTGGCTGACTTGTTTGATTTTTCCCATTTCCCTGTTCAGTCGTCAGGACTACCATTCTATCCATCTTGATTTCGGTGTTGAGCTGGAGTCCGTGACGGTCGTGGGCTGAGTGCTGCAGCCAGCTAAAGCCCTGGCTAGCTTTTGAGACCCGTTGTTGATTTTGACACATTACGAAATCGAGAGGTATGCGAATTTGACCACTGATGCGAGCTAGTCCATCCATGGCGGGGAAGTGAATTGCCGTCTGCAGCGAACGCCACTGTGGCTTTGTCTGCAATTCTTGTAAGCGCTGGGCCAGCAGATTGCTGCAGTCGAGGTGGCGAGCAGACACATTCGACAGAATAAGATTTAACATACCTGATGTTCGCTTACCTTGTGGTCTCCTGCGACGCTACAGTCGAAACCTCATCTTGTCGATAACGAGATGGGGGTCCGTTCGGCCATCGGCGTCGCAGATCGTCTTGATCATCAGCACGTCCTGTCGATCTCTCCGGCCGAGAACGTAGCCTAGTAACTGCCAGCGTCGCAATCAGATGGGCATCGATGTTGCCCTCTGCATCGAATGGCGGTAGAGGGTGTTGGCGAGGAAAAGGCGGTATTCTGAGAACGTTCCCAGACCCCGGTTATGTGGGGGCCCAGCACTCCCTCCCAGGCAGCGTGGTATGTCCCGACACGTCCATTAAACTCACCAACAACTATCAGCTCGTCAGCCTTTGACAGAATCGCCATGAGGGCCCGTGGGTCGTCGTAGAACTTGATTCTCAGCGTAGGCGCTGAAGATTGGCGGATTTAGCCCGCCGAAGAGGCAGGCGCAGGTCATGAGGCAGTCGTTGATTTCTTGCGTCGCATCGCCCCACCTTTGTCTGGCCGCTTCAGAAGAGGGTGTGGCCGACACCCACCTCATCGAATTGACCTTGCATGGAGAAGCGGGTCTCACTGAGGGCAGTGGTGTACACCTTGTGGTGCGCCAGTCCTCGACCAACTAGCGCCGTCCTTCGTCCCGGCCGACAACTCATCGGACTAACCAACAGCTTGTGATCTGGGCCGAGGTAGGATGGGAACGTGGGTTGCTGTTCGTTATTTTTCCTCTATGCGCCACGCTATGCTTGCAGATGACGTAATCTCATGGCAGTTGTTTAGAGCACGTATTCTCGCTCCTCATTCCCCCACGGACATCCCAGACAGTCGCCGAACTTCACTATGGGTCATGGCTTTATGTAATGGAGAGTGATCCAAATCAGCCTGGACCGTGTACGCGACTACATGTGGCTCTCTCTCCGTAGGAATTTTTGAAGTGGGGGCAGGGAGGGAGGGGGCAGAGTTACTGGGTGTGGGGACGCACAGAACGCCGGGTGCACTTGTTGTGACCGGGCGGTGTGAGTGAGTCACAGTCTGTGCGCTACCATCGTCGGGCCAGATCCCAAGTTGTAGGGAGAAGGCAGATGGAACCTGAATGAGGGGTTTATTGTGCACAGAAACGGGGATTGTACTCTCATGCGGCAGTGGCCACCGGCGAAGCCAGGGGTGGTGTTGACTGCGTCCAGTCAGGCCTGAGAGTCCCTGAGATAGTGGTGGCAGCCGCTTTTGTATGCTCGTTGACCAAGCTCAAGTGGTGTCCAGTCCGTGTGTGTTGCATTTGCCGAGGGGTGGTGGCCCAGTGGCTTAAGGTGCTGGTTGCAGGGAGGGAGGTGCGTTCAAGTGACCGCATAGGCAGTTGCGACTGCGCGGACGCA